GTGCACGTAGCACAAATAGATTTTCATTCACTTGACAGTTCATTGTGAGTGCTTTTCCTAAGGTCCATACAAATACAGCCTACATGTATTGTTTGCTTCCTAAATTAACTGCTTTTTGGTGGTTTGGATTAATTAATTAAAAAAAAAAGCAAAAATAAGATAACAAATATTAAGAGTAACCAAGCCTGAAGGGAAGGCCTTAAATTAGATACCTTCCCTTGGGAGTGCTCATCTGGCATCCTATATCCTCTGTTTCTAATGGATCTACTACCACCTAGGCTAAGTACAGACAGTCAAAAAGCCCGAGGCTGAATAGATCCAATCTTGTCAGGTTAGTCTAAGTTGTGTAGATTGAACTAATAAGCAAGTGAACAGACATTCATTTTTGATTTTGGAAATGCAGCCACATGCCTGCAGTGGCCCAAGCCAGAGGTCAGGGGGTGCTAGAGTATGCCTCCCTGCTCAGCTGGAGCAGATAGCTTGAACCAAGGCTAACCTGACCACCCTGTGAGGTGGAGGGATTGTGAGAGAGGTGCAAAGCATCCTGGGATGCTGGGAGACTGTGAGTTAACTTGATTCTGGAGGGGTCTGGGACAGAAGTTCAATAAACTGATTTAACATCAGTCAGTTAAGTCTTATACTACATCCATCCAAGTTTATCTTAAACTGGTTTTGGCCATTTTGAAAGTAGTTTATGAACTCTGAATTTCTGTTGTGTTACAAATTTGAACTGGTTTCTGAGAAGATATACTGGTTTATGCGTAATTTTTGTCCCTAGCCCTCATATGCCAAAGAGGGGTAGTGGCTTGTCTGTTTGAATGAGTCGACTAGGTCCCATTTAATCTTTTCCCAGTAAGATAAACAGTTGCTAGAAGGTAGATATTTCAGTCATCCTATTCTATTCAATTTTCTCTGTTAAAAAGTATGTGTTCATAAATGCAATTAATTGCGGGGAGCTGAGAGGGGAGGGGTGTACTTAAAAGAGGTCAGTCATCTTAGTTCTGAAAGTGTCTCACTATTAAGATCATTTTTCATGATCTTTTTAAAGTTGACTTAGCTAACTTGGAGGGATAAATCAGATAGCATTTCCTGGTATAAGTATCATAAAGAAAGGGTCATACTGTGTGAATTTATTCAATATCTGCATTGGCTGTCTCACAAATCTGTGCCACTTAGGCTACTACAAGACCAGTCATCAGGGTATTTCTGTGTGTGCATATAGTGAATCTCTTCTCTCATGATACCAATCAGGTAGGTAACAAAGGATCACTGTGTGCATGCATTTATTCAGTCTTTTCCCTTCCCTTGATGATCCTGAGTGTGAATCTCAGGGGAGTTCCAGATTATAATAATTCCCTTTAGGTTTTGAAAGTAAAAGTTTCTTTTTTTTTCCTGTTTGTTTGCTGAAGTCTTGACACACGCAAGAGGAAACCTGAAGCCGTGTTTGTTTGGATTTCAGGCAATGATCTGGAATATTAGGGAATGCACACATGCTCCAGGAGTGGGGTAGGGGGGTGCTTTAATTAGTGTGGCTCGAAGAGCCACTTTTATTAAAGTGCCGGGAGTGTCTCACGTATCAGTGTCCCTGTGCTGAAAAATGGCAGTCGAGGCACTTTAACTAAAGCTCATCAAATATCTGCTTTTCTGAAGTTATTGAACGAGCTTTAGGTAAAGCATCACCTGCCCCCCTCTACCCCGCCAGCATTTTTCAGCACAGTGTTTATGCAGCTCAGTTAAAATGTGGTCCTTTCCCCCACTTTTGCATCCTAAATAATTTCTTTTAGTCTCATTTTTCCTCAGTAGGTAACTCTTGCTTCATGGGGGGGGAGGTGAAAGCCCTATTAAAATACCAAAAATTGAAAAGAAATTAGAAAGCTTATTTAAAAATATGACCTATGACTGCAGCACATCCTTATTCTTTTGAAGGCTCTCTCATATGTATCTTTTCTACTTTTTCTGATATTTTTGAGCCTTGAGTTCTCTTAAAGTAATAGGTCAACGTGTTTGTTTAATAAGTTCAACATGATTTGATTTTTAGATGCCTCTTTCAAACATTCAAACGTTATGATAAACTTGATTTATCATCTACTTGAGCAGGATATGCATTTTATATCCCTAGTTTTATATACCCTCTTGGTTCTCATGGGGGATTTCAATCACCCTGACATCTGCTGGGAGGGCAATCCAGGAAGTTTTTGGAGAGCCAAAAACCTCTCATGAAGTTCAAAAATGACAAGTGCAAGGTCCTGCACTTAGAATAGAACAGTCCCGTGGACCAGTACAGCTGGGGTCTGACTAGCTGGGCAGCAACTCTGCAGGAAAGGACCTTGGGTTTACAGTGGACAATAAACTGAATATGAGCCAGCAGTGTGCCCTTGTTGCCAAGAAGGCTAACAGCATACTGGGCTGCATTGGTAGGAATTTTGCCAACAGGCCAAGGGAAGTGGTTATTCCCCTCCATTCAGTACTGATAAGGCCACATCTGGAGTACTGTGTTCAGTTTTGGGCCCCACTATAGAAAGGATGTGGATAAATTGGAGAGAGTCCAGTGGAGGGCAACAAATATCATGAGGGAGCTAGGACACACGACTTTTGAAGAGAGGCTGAGGGAATTGGCCTTATTTAGCGTGGAGAAGAGGAGACTGAGAGGGGGTTTAATAGTAGCCTCAACTACCTGAAGCGGGGTTCCAAAGAGGATGGAGCTGGACTGTTCTCTGTAGTGGGAGATGACAGAACAAGGAGCATTGGTCTCAAGTTGCAGCAAGGGAAGTTTAGGTTAGATGTTAGGAAGAATTTTCTCACTGGGCGAGTAGTTAACCCTGGAACAGGTTACCCAGAGAGGAGGTGGAAGCTCCATCTTTGGAGGTTTTTAAGAGCTGGCTAGACAAAGCCTTGGCTGGAATGATCTAGTTGGGGATGGTCCTGCTTTGAGCAGGGGTTGGACTAGATGACCTCCTGAGGTCCCTTTCAATCCTAATTTTCTCTGATTCTATATCTGAAGGACCAGGGTAAATTTTGTTATTTACCTCTTAAGGACCAGGGTAAATTTTGTTATTTACCTCTTGTTTCAGTCTTTACAGCAATAAAAAGCTAATAAAATTAACTTGTTGAGTTATGTTACAAATATCTAACCAATCATCCAATTTTTACAGTGACAAAGTATCATGGACTTCTGCCTTGAAATTCTCTGCCATGCTTAAGCTAACAATTGCCAAACTGTCAGTGTGCAAAATAAAAAAATCAAAAAATCATACGAGCTTTTTCTCTGAACGCAATATTTTTAAAGTTCTGCATTATAGAATTATTTGCTAAGTAGGAAAAAATTTCATGTGGTAAAATCACTAAATGCTTGTAGTCTAGTTTTTCTCATGTGCTGTAAAATTTTCAAAAATAGCAAAGAAGGGTTTAACTCTATGTGTAATATAATGCTTTTAACTCTGGAATGGGTAAATGCAAGACTGATTTATCTGTACTTTTAAAGAAATTGTCACATTTTTAATATAATACATACTTTTTCATACCTCTTACGTAACACAAATTACGTATCTTTATAAGTTGGTCCTAGTTAGCAGCCTGCTCTAGAAGCTAACTACACTGTATGGAAAATAACTGTAAATTGGTGGGAAATGATATTGTGTGAGATATACAGTAGTGTTTCTATATCCAGTCTGGACAGCCCACTAGAATTTACTGATGTAATTACATACAAGATTGAGGTGTGGGGATGATAATAACTGGGTGGTGGGGGGGGTGGAAATTGAACAGAGCAAAAAGCAATGGAGAATTTTCATGTTTTAAAATCAGTTGCACAGAAGACTTGAGCAATGTGAATTGTAATTATTCTTAGAAATGTATTATTTAAAATGAGTGGGGTTTTTTTTACAAGAGAAATCCTAACTTTGAAATCAAAACTATAATATTTTAATAGTAATAATTTCTAACAACGTTGCATTACTTTTTATGAATACTGTGTTTTTCCACTGGTTGTCCTTTCGGAGCTGTCAAATAATTGTAACATGCTAAGCCAGTAAGCCAAGTAAAGCTGACAGCTTGTTGCAAAAAGTAATAAATGTATATCTTCATGCTTGGTCAACTTGGCAGTGTTGCCAGAAAATGCAGTTTTGGATCAAATATGAATCACAATAGATTTGATTAGTAATTTTCTGTCTAACGTTTGGAAATCATTACTTTGAAATATGGCATTTGCGATTTGATTCTATTTTTGATTGTTGTAAATATTTTTTTCACATCAGTAGCTTTTTGGAATATGTTAACTGCCTGTCAGCTTATAAATCATGGGGTACATGCTCTTTTAGAGAAAAACCCACTAAATCAAAACTGTTTTGGCAAAAGCCTCAGGAAATACGAATGCATAATGTTTCCCATTAAAATGTTCTCTTTGGTCTTAATAGACAGTAGTGTATAGGTAAAAACTCAAAGAAGCAAGAATAAAAATGTGAAAATGTATTAAAATGTTTGAACATACATTTGCAAGATGTAAATAAGTAAGATTGCTTCTGATTTTTGGCAATTCCAATAAGTGTCACTGAACACAAATATTCTTTGTTTAATGCTGCCTGGTTATTTTCCATTGTTAGTGTTTTTAAATTTAAAAGACTCCATATATGATTAGGTCAAGTGATGTAATTTATGTTTAGGTAATTCAACTTACATTACCCTAACTGAAAATGTAGAATAATTTAAATGCCCCATGTTAGGGAAGTCGTATATCTTGAATTATTGTTAATTGTGATCCATTTCTGAAGCAGAAGATAATTTTGCAAGCTGGTACATATTTAAGATATAATAAAGAATAAACTTTGCTAGTTAAAAAGGAACTGATGCGATATTAGAATATTGTAAATACTTAACCTGTAGCTTTAAAGGTACTGAAACATTTGGGAAAATGTAGTTCTGTACTACTTGCCATGTATTCTCTGAAATGTGTTGTGATTCTTTGTTTAAAATATATAATTGTCCACTTCCTTTTTTTCCCCCAGAGTACATTCAAATTTAAATCTGAGAGTGACATTCACCTGGCTGAACACCACAAACAGGTTCTTTATGATGGGAAACTTGCAAGTAGTATTGCCTTTACTTACAATGCTAAGGCTACTGACGCTCAACTATGCCTTGAATCCTCACCAAAGGAAAACCCTTCAATTTTTGTACATTCCCCACATGCTCTTATGCTTCAGGTTTGTGTATATTGTTTTTCTTCTTTTTTGTCATGTATTTATTTGTTAATTGAGCTTGCAACAGGGTAGACTTTCAAAAGTTAATTGAAGGTCTGTTTCTGATTATCATATTTTCTTGCATAGAACATGGCCTGAAATATAATGTGCACCTTGTTACTGAAAGTCAGAATGAAGGAAAAAACGATTTTTCCAGAGTGATAGCTTCATAAAGCAGGGACAGAGCCTAATCTTTAAGTCATTTACCTCCCTTTCCTTCTTAACTAATGCTGACACCCTAGCTGCTGGTAAAGCGTAGTCTCCATGGGGTGGATCTTTGATTTTGAGACAAGCTAAAGAGTCTCTGATGCTGTAAAATATAAGGTGAGAGACCAGGAGCAGCTAGCAGACAGCAAAATTACCCTTGCTAGAACATCAATACCATTAAAAAGGCGCGACAGTTGTTAACACCTGTGGAATGAAGAACAGTGAACCATTAATTCAGTTGATGTCCTCAGCTGCTGTACTGTGGAGCAGGAATCAAAACAGGGTGCTTCTAATCTGGGCAGACCTTCCCCACGTAATACACACCACCCCAGTTTTGAGGGGCTGATTTTAGGAGAGGTGTGCGTGTATGTTGTATATGAGAAAATATGGTAATAGTTTTAACTGTTGGTATGTATAGACTCCAGTAAGGGTCCACTAACCCTTTATTCCTATTCTTGTTGAGGCTGTCCTTTTCTTCCTTTAACTCAGGGAATCTTGTATTGTCTGTGTGTTTTGCATATTTGCTTCATCATGCAGGACAAGTATTTGCATTTGTGTTGTCTATCTTTGGTTATAAAATTTACGGTTGTCAAACTCAAATAAGCTTTTGTGTCTTATTCCCTGCCAGCAGCAAGGGGTGGGGCATGCAGGCTGTGGGCCTTTCACTGGGCTGGACCAGCCATCTCTGGATCAAGTCCATGGGGCTTCTTGATATGGCTGCCAGAGCCACTGTGTTGGCACAACCAGCACTCAGAGAGTTAATACCACTGATGCCCATCCCTCCCCACCTCTTTCCATGCTGACTGCTGCCGATTATAGTTGCCAGTGGTGATCAAAATCCAGAAATTTGGTGGTGAGTAAGGGGGAGAGTGAATGGAAGTGTTTATCCCCTGGGCACTGGCCCACAAGTACTATGGGCAAGATATGAAAGGGGGGAATTCAGTTTGCAAGAAACCCTGGAGGTTAAATGAATGATGAACACAATCTGGATCTTGACACTTCTGATACAGTCATTTCGTTTCTGATGGGATGTACTGCTTCGAAAAATACACGCAGCAGCATTTTTGTCTCCAGAAGTCTTTTATGTTTTTATGCCAATTTTACCAAACCAGAAATTCTCTGATATCTACTAAATCTATATTATTTATGATAATCAGGAATCCTGGTTTTCTCTGATTAAAAAAAATATCCCCAATTTTTTTATTTAAAAAAAGTAACCCCAAATCCACATTTTTCCAGGATAAAAATGAAACACCATATATATATTAGTGTTGTTTCATTTTAATCACGGAAAAATGTGGATTTTGGGTTACTTTTTTAAAACTGAAAATTGAGGATTTTTTTATCGAAGAAAACCAGGATCCCTGATGATAATACACTATGCTCCTATAGCAAAACCCCCAGTTTTTCTTTTTCTTTCTTTTTTTTTTTTAAATGCATTCCCTCCCCTTTCCCAACCATTTCTGACTGTCTCTCCCTCTCTATTCCCTATAGATAAGTATAAGTGAGCTAAGACATAGGATGAGCTTCAGCATTTTATTTTGGGAGCAGTTGTATTTTTTTTGTTTTTTCTCCTTCTTTATATTGTATAATTATTATGTTTATATTGATTTTTGCTGTTCTGTATTACTGTTTTACTGGTACTATATGATTTAGGCCTACATATGTAAGTTAGCATAAGTCATGTCAAGTTTCCATTTTGTTTGTCAAGTCTCCATCCTGTCCCCAGGCCCGGTTGCGTAACCCATGACTCACACCTACCCCTCCTATGTAACTTGGTTCCTGAATGAATGGGGATAAATGAGGGTGCTTGAGAGACAATGGCAGTAGGTCTAAAAATAGCTC